ATATACTTTGGAAAAATGGACCTAGTACCTGGCAGCGGGTGTTCATGCATGTTTGATCTATTCAAATGCCAGGTCTTATTTACTCTCTCCAGGAAACCTTGAGAGCTTGAAATGACAGTCTCTCTTCATCTAAATCATGACTTCACGTCATCGTTTGAAGAAGAGACAAAGAGGAACTATGCGTTCTCTCTCAAACAGCTGCTTGAGTGCTGAATGGTCATTGACTGGAGCACGTGACAACGATCTCCGCTCTGCTCACACACCCCACCGACTCGCCTCGTTCATGGATGAACCGCTGTGCTGGTGCGGTTAGTGTCCTAACAAGAGCTGACAGGCTTCCTGTTAAACAGACTCCACAAAACTCATGTGCGGTTGGAATTGCTTAATCTTGGTTGTCTGTTGCTTACCCCCCATTACTAATTACTAATTTGTCATTTAGCAGTTGCTTTTATCCTGTGTGACTTGTAGTAGGCTTACGCTCACTATTCATTCCCATTCCCTGTCTACCTGAAATCAAATAATGGCCATCAATGACACTTATCTGTGAATTAGAATCTCATCACAGTGTACAACGGGTATTGGTTTGAAGCTTGCTTAAACCGTGTTTCAATACTTAAAAGGGATAGTTCACCCAAAAATGAAAATTAATTACTCACAGTAATTACTCAGTCGTTAATTACTCACCCTCATGTTGTTCCAAATCCTTCATTCATCTTTGGAACACAAATTAAGCTATTATTCATGAAATTCAACTGACACATTCAAGGCCCAGAAAGGTAGTAAGGACATTGTTAAAATTGTCCCTGTGACATCAGTGGTTCCCAAGATGAATGAAGGTCTTACGGGTTTGGAACAACATGAGGGTGAGTAATTGACAGAATTTCATTTTTGGGTGAACTATCCCTTTAAAGATGTATTTTTACATTATCTGAAACTAGGGCTGGACGATATGGCCAAAATTGATATCACGATATATTTCTTAATTTCGGTCGATACGATATAATTCCGATATCGATATGACCACTATTTATCTGAAATAGAAATCTTTTGTAACATTATAAATGCCTTTATCATCACTTTTGATCAATTTTAAGCATCCTTGCTAAATAAAAGTATTAATTTCTATAATATCTTTCCCAAAAATTAATAAAAATTATACTGAATGGAATAGTGTATAATGTTACAAAAGCTTTTTATTTCAGATAAATGCTGATCTTTGGATCTTTCTATTCATCAAAGAACCCTGAAAAAAAAATGTACTCAACTGTTTTAAATATTGATAATCAGCAAATCAGCATATTAGAATGATTTCTGAAGATCATGTGACACTGAAGACTGGAGTAATGATGCTGAAAATTCAGCTATGTATGATCACAGGAATAAATTACATTTGAAAATCTATTCAAATAGAAAGCAATTTTAAATAGTAAAAATATTTCAAAATTTTACTGTTTTTGATTTACTTTAAATGCAGCCTTGGTGAGCAGAAGAGAATTCTTAAAAAAAAAAAAAA